TTTTTAGTTTTGATTTTGAGCAGCAAATTTGGAGTTACATATTGGTGCTCACCAGGAATGCATAGGCAAAATTGCACAAATTTTCACTTGAAAGAATAGTGGCGATCTTGGGATTTTTTTCTGTTCAATTTTCAAACTGTGTAAATTTAATACACTTCATCTTCAGCATGTTTAGTGCCACTTTTGTAAGTAACCACGCCCCCGTCCAGGCCACGCCCCCGTCCAGGCCACGCCTCTTCCGCTTTTTTCATTACTCGCCATTGCCATGTATGAGTTTTAGAGACGGGGCCAGATTTCACACGGTCTCATTTTGCGAGTGGATTGAGACAAGATCATTTCAGTCTTTTATGTGTGAATGTACAATGAGTGCCTTGGCTCAATGAAGATTGGGGAACACTGGTATAAAGTCCAGTCTCTGACACACACACACACACACACACACACACACACACACACACACACACACACACACACACACACACACACACACACACACCTGAACGGCGGGTCCTCTGGTTAAAGTAGCGGAGCAATGGCTGAAATCTTTCCGTCCGTGGCCCGGTGATGTCTCCAGTGGGCTCACCAGGCAGTCTAAGTTGTCGAGGCTCCGATTTGTGGACAGCTCTTTTAGGGAGGGCAGGGAGCTGTGGAACAGAGTTCAATAATCAGCTTTTAAGAGGACATTCAGAGAGCAGTGCAGAGAAAATTGGTTTTATATCCAGGAGAAACTTGAAATCCTACTCCAAAGTTCCTCTGGGTATTTTTAGATGAGAAACGGAGATATGTGAAGAGTGACTGAGTGGGTTTAAAATAGCAGTGCAGAGGAAACATTCATTTGTGAGGAATTAAGCTTCATATGTCATTATTTGACTTGTCATAGCTCGCAACTATTTCTGGCAAGTTTCCTCTGTTCTGGACTGAAAAATTGGCACTTGTGTTCGTGAAATTTCTGTGCTCCGAGCAGGAGGGGACTTGAAGGGTTACCACCACTTTGCATGTTATGCAAAAAAGGGCTTCATAACAAGGGAAGTCTTGTGAAATGGGGAATGTTTGACCAAAAACGATGCTGGGTAGTGGGGGTAGGGCAAGTGAGGTGGGCTCGGGTCATTGGCCATATAACCTGCCCGTGGATTGCACTGACCTCAGATGCTGCATAGAGCATGCACTCTGTAGTGGAGACCAAAGAAAATCCTCCCGCATGAGAGCGTAGCAACGAGGCCTGTCGGTGTGGACGAAGGGGTAAAACACATGGCAAAAATTCACCTATCCTTGTTTTATTCCAACAATACAAATGGGTTTCGATGACGTATTCTCCTTTAGCTAGAGCACAATCTGAACAGTTGAAGCAGCATGCCCCTATACAAGCAACAACTTCCATTTTTGACGAGGTGTTGCCCCCTGCTGTCTATTTTTGGAAGACCTGTGCCACCCGAGCTTTGAGTCAATTTCTGCTGGAATGTGGAGTGCTAGATTAAATTGGAGATCTATGAAGATGACCTCTTGTACTGTGGGACTCACTTGCATGCAGGTGGAGGAGGCTGCTGCTCACTGAAGGACTGCTGAGTGGCCTTCAGATAGCTCTGGCGACGGGCTGCAGATTTGGGAGAAGGTTTGGGGCTACCCTCCGAGTCATCGCTGCCCTCCATGTCTCCCATTGCTTTCACATAGCTGCCACTGCGCATCCTTCGACATGGAATTTCTGTTCCTTTGGCTCGGCCGGGGCCTAACGTGCCAGCCCATTCACCTAGTGGAACCTGAATTGTAGAAACACATTTTCATTTCGGACTTGTCGATGCAATCCAGAAATCTGCATTCGTCCTTAAGATGTTGCTTAGTGTACTTTGGGTTTGTTGGGACTTTTTGTGAAATATGACTATGGGCTTGAAATATAGTTGTGGAGGCTAATGAAATGAAGATTTGTAACTAAAATGATTGGATACAGGCATGTTGCGGGGTGAAAACCAGCATTGACGAGTATGCTAAACACAAATAACTTTAAATTGAAGAATGAAGATGAACTCACTGGTACGCCTACCTGAAGGAACTGGTTGGCCAGATCCTGGTGGCATGACTTTGTTTTTAAAAGGGTCCTGTTGACTGTAGCCGAGCCTTTCTGCAACACTTGTCGGGCCTGATTAAAGGTGAGATTGGACCAGGATCCCCTCTTCACTAGCGTATCATCCTTGCTCCGAGCTATTCCTTCCCCGTCCTTGGATCCAACCTTTGATACGGGACACCCCAGGAGCTTGAGGTCACTGCTGCTTTTTGAGGACTTGAGAGAATGTGCAGAAATGGTGTTGTAGCCCTGTGAGATATGTCTAGGGTGGGCCTGGATGTCTGATATCGCTCTACCAAGTGTCATCATACATAATGGGTTGCGGTAACCAACAGCAACGGTGCCGGCTTTGGTAGTATCACTGTCAAGAGTGTTGTCTGAGCTCCACAGGCCTAATGCATTTGCCCTTGATTTCTGCTTTTGTCCTTCAGTCTTAGCCCTATCTTTACTCTTGCTCCGGTGGGGGGGTCTACCGCTGTCCTCACTGGTTCCGGTGATTGCATTTCCTTTTACGGAAGCGTTTTCCAGGGATTGAGATTTAGCAAAGAGCTTCTGCACAGAATGCATCAGGTGGCGTATCCGTCCTGGACTCTCACTCCGTTGTTTCGACATACGTCCTCTGTGAAATTGCAAAGTGCTGAAGCCGTCCCGCTGCAGGGGCAGATGCCGTTCCAGTTGATCCAGGATGTTGGATGGTAACCGATTCATTTTGGCTGCCGCTGCAGAGGAGATGGTGGCTGATCCACTTGTGATCATGGGAGTGCCAGTGAGACCCAAGCCCAGGCCCATGCCTGTTGTCACAGAGGTGGATAGTGTACCTGCCCTGCTGCGCTGCCCTGCTCCCACACTGCCTGCCATACAGCCTTGGGGACAGTCTGACTGCTCTGTCTGCGGGGTGAAGTGGAGACGAGGGAAGGTGCTGCTGTTGGACATCTGGTTGAAAGGCAGAAGGCAGTCTGGAGCTAAGGCGGTTGGGCTAGTGGGAGCATACTGGTGGAAGTGAGGATCCAGGGTGCCATAGTGCTTGATGGTTGGGCTTAACATGAAGGAGCAGTGAGGATCAGAGGTCAAAGGGCAGAGAGCTTTCTGCGGGCACCCTGCTGGCTCACACGAGTCAGAGAGATGTCGACTGCGGTTGGCTCCTAACCCTTTCATGGTGGCCGGCGGGTTGTCTTTAGAGCATGGCGGCTGTCACTGCAGGACCTGTAGTGCTCATCCTGCAATTAAGGGAGATCTGTTATTGTGGCTTTTTATCAAATATGCATTCTAAAAGATTGATGCTAGTTTGTACAATTTACCTATGGAGATTCTGGCGTACACAGCTTGAACAAAGTCTCCCAAGAAAATTACAGAATGTAATTGAGCCAAACAATAAAAAATATATCTACTTAAATACCACCAGAGGGAGTTTGAGGTCTCAGGACAGGGATTTTATATAAACACACCTGATATATTAAAATGCAAACATACATTTTAAAAGAGATAGAAAAGAACATCAAGCTCTATTGTAAAACATTAAAAAGAAGCTACAATCGTATTTTTAATTAAGTAGGAATGTTTACCCACAATCCTGTTCTAATGCTTCTTGTTGTTGAGCTGATTTATAGTGATGTATATGTAAATCAGCAGAATATTGAAGATGTTCCTCTCCAAAGTAGGAATTGAACCTTGTCCATACAGCCTACTCCTTTCATCTTAAATACAATTATTTTTGTCTTTTGTGGTGACTCTGAACTCTGTCTGAAGTATTTGTTAACTAAGATGGTCACGGGGAGTCTTCGCTAGCAAGACAACACAAAGTCATTTAACATTTTCACTTGATGAATGTGATGGTGATTTCTTGTGAAAAGTGAACAGGCATTCGGTATGCAGATTCTGTCTTGTGGGTGCTGGAGAGATGATCCACGAAGGAATGGGGGAGGGCAGGTCAAGCATTTTGATAAACCAAATTGTGAAAACAAATAGATTGGGCTACATTTCAGTCATGCTTGTGAAAGTCGTTTTCCAACACAAGCCCTTCTCCAATTATGTCAGCACATCAACTATAATACTATATCATCATCGTCGCACCAAACCAGAAGGTTACACACCACAAACGAGACGATCTGGAAGGCAATAAAAACAAAGAGCTCAACTACAGTGCCATGTCCTATCACAGAGCTTCAGATTTTTAAAGCCTTTTGGTGGAATCATATTTCATCAATTTTAGAAAAGCCTCATAATTCAGCCAGCAAATCCAGGCTGCATTTGCATTTGCACTCTAACAGATGCTGTCTGTATCATAGTGGAGTGAGTCACTGATCCGTCAATGGTGAGAGCCCTGTTGCCACCGCCGGCATGAAATCTTGCCTGGGAGCTGAATGTGATGAGGCACACACATTTTCCCAACACTATTGCTTTGTTACCTCTCACAGCTCTTTGACCTCCCATGCAATCTCCGTTGCGCGGGAGCAGCCACTTACGTGAGTCAGTGTTCCTGGATGGGCACAGCAGTGTGCTGACAAAATGCACCACCAGCGTTTTACAATATCGCCACATGCTGTATCTCATCCACTCCAGCTGACTGCATCCCCTGCGAGTTGGCGTCCTGCAGGCGCCACTGCTGACACACTGACAGACACCGACCTACACACTAACACGCAGATATTGCTAACCTTACGCCCACCCACCTACTGCACTGATGAACCCTCGTCAAGTGTTGAACATCACGGGGCCAAGATGAGAAGTATATGAATGTTCAACGTTGGAAGCACCTTCTCACAGGTCCAAAGCATTTTTTTGCACAATGGAGGGCAGCAGGCTTCTTCATAACAACACGGTGAATGAAATGGATTGTGTGTTGGTAACGGCGGCTTGTAAAACTCAATATCTGGCTCAGAGAATCTTTCACATTCAGTTCACTGGATACTAGGGAGTCACTTATTGATGCACATGTGTCTCATTGAAGCCTATCATCAAATGACAATTAATATAGCTTAGAAGGTGAGTGATAAAAATGCTCCCAAAAGTATGAAACAAAATGTGTTTGTTTTTTTTTAATGGTGGAATCACATTTTGACTGTAAAGGCACTGGACCTCAATCATAGGAACTTCATAATCTGCAAGGGATCAGTAAAATAATCAGTTCGGCTCGAATGTCAAACTTATTTTTTTCTGTGAAATTCAACACTGTAACAAGAAGCACGCACAATTAAAATATTTTTTTAATGATTGTATTACTGCCCTAACTCAGCTGGGATAGGCTCCACCACACCCACAAACCCTCGAGAGCATAGAAATACAGTGGATGGATGCTGATTGTTTTATTTAAATTTTTGTCTGTCTTTTATGTTCAGAACTTTCTTGCAACACCTTCGGTTGTTGCTATACTGCAGTATAAAGTTGAGTGACATTTACGACACTTGAATTATGAAAGGTATTTCAATGTTTTTAAAAGTCAACACAATTTTAGTTTGACACCGCTTTTCTACAAGATCCACCTGCACGTCAAACTTTCAATCGAGGTTCCGTGCACCCAAACTTAAACTTAAATCATGTTGGAGACCCCTGAGACAAACAAATCAATTTTGCTCATCAATAACTCTACTATTCATCTTGATCATCTAAAATAGACATACATACCGGTATATTTTGAATTATAATACTGTACTTGATGTTTTTGGTCCCATTCAAGGTGACTCAGCTGGGATAGAGGGTGTCGCCAAGTGCCCTCCACCGACGACAAGTCTTTATTGATTAAAATCCGTTTTCATCACCACTTTCTATTTGGCAGAAACTGTCCACTGATTTCACATCATTGCACTGTGTCTTTGTTGTGATACTGTATTAGAATAACTACTGTTTTTATTTATCATATCTTTATTTCTGGAGCCATGTACCTGATTTTGCATTATAAATTAAAATAAGCAGTCTTATATCAACCGATAATAATAATGTTAATTTTAATACTATTCATCAAACTGTTAGCATGGAGTCGAGTAAGTTCAAAGAAGCAACATGTAAAATATGTTGCAAGTCGATTAATTTGTTAAATGTGCCCTGTAGGCTTTTTTAGCGCTGAAGCAAGAAAAAGACAAACGACAAGATTAAAAAATAATAACAAATCCCACTGAGATTATTTTTCAACAGAGGTTTGCCATGTAACAAATGCACTTTGACACAAAGATGATCCTCCCAGGGCCAGTGAAAGTAGTGCTCCTTTTTCACAGTCACCATCATTGGTCCATTGGGAAGTGCATAACGCCACGCAGCCTTATGATGACATATAGCTCGCCTGATAACAAGCAGAACCAAGAATACCGGAATGTGTCAGTCGCCCTGCAGCACTGTAATACATGTCTCAAGTGGTCACGCGGTCCCCGACAACCACCCCCACCTCTCGCCTCTAGTGATGAGCAGAAGTGAAGAGAGTAAAATATCGATTCTGCTTTTGCTCCTTGTTCAAAGGGTGAATATGTAGCAGCTTTGTTTTGAATCGTCTTTCTCAGAGCCATTTCTAGTATTGACACTATGTATCAGTCCTTTTCCTTAATTAGTATCCTACTGGTTTTCAAATGTTTCTATTTGTATCCTCTTATGGCAGAGCATTGGTGTCTTGTTTTTGCACCCAGTTTAACAGCCTGTGAATCGGTGGCTCTTTCCCAACCGATCTTTTATAAGTACATGGTCCAGATTTATGGTAACGGATACTTGAGATGAGCCATGCGTTCTCCCCGCTGTGCTTTGAGAAGCTTCTAATAGCTTGTTGGTGATGTCATCTGTGCTTCCTGCTTATCAGATCAAGTGTTGTTCTTTGCAGGCTTTCGAAACCACAGAAAATCTCTGCGACAGCACGATTTGCAACATGTCTGCTTGCATACATACATCTGACCACAATACTGTCTCAAATAAAATGCCTTTACAAAGAATAATGTTAAGTTTTTGTAAAAAAAAAAAAAAAATCATAACTAATTTTCACTACACTCAAGCTGCAAAATGATCAGTTTCAGTCAACAATGTGCTGTACCTGGATCTATTTTATTGACTTGGAAATGTACAAAAACAAAAACACGACATCCACAAAATGGCGGTTGACACAAATGAGAATTCCACGGATACTATGTGCGGAATTACATCTATCAATTTGTTTTCAATTTTGTTGCCAAATGGCATCAATATTGGTTCGAGTACGAGCTATCCACGTTTGAATGTCAAATTTAATTTATATCTACATAGACAAATGTTGTTCATCCATTTTCTGAAGAATTTGTCCTCATTCGGGTTGCACGTGAGCAAGAACATATCCCTGTTCACTTCGGTGGTGGACTGGTCACCACTTACCAGTTAATTACCATCCATCTATAGGCAAAAAAAATCTATTTCCACTCATATTCGTACCTACGGAAAGTGTTAAGAGTCAGGGCCAGATTTCACACTGACTCATTTTGCGCGTGGATTGAGACAAAATCCTTCCATTTTTTTGTGATGTGTGAATGTAGAATGAGCTGGCTCAATGAAAATTGGGGAACACCGGTATAATAGCTGAAAAATAATAGCCATTTAAAATATTTTACCTGGTTAATACGTTTTTTGTTCCCTTAAACTCAGCTCACAGTGTCAGCACATCTGTAAGTTGTCACTGCCATCCTCACGCACAATTGTAAATTTTCATCCGGGAGGTGACGTGCACAATGTTTATTTTTAAAATACTTCATTTAGCACCCAGGATTAAACGTTCCGTTTCCTTGAGAAACTTCTCTTGGAATTGTAATGGTCGGTTTTCTCCCGAGACAACTTTTTATCATCTGTCCGTGGGGGTCTGCTAGCAGCTACTTATTAACGTACATTTCATGCCTTGACCTGTCGCAGGAATTGAGCAAATCAGTTTCTTCTTGCACTATTTCAAGGATTGTCAGCGTGTGGCATTTAAAGAGAAAGAGGAGCCGATTCAATTGCTGGCAAATAAAGTCAACTGCGTTCACACCCACAACACTGCAAAACGCCTTTTTCTTTTGTTGTAAATCCACCACACTGTGCCCGCTTGTACCCATCTGTGAAAATACCAAAACAATTATTTAGACTGCACAACGTGTAGACTTGCGTTGGGGCACAAAAAATAGTGCCCTAAGCAGGGTATTTTGAGGGACACATTGTACATTCATATTTATGTTAAGAATAAATGGTATTTATAATCCATTGAGCAGAATTCCCTTCACTACTTTTTTGGCTCTGATAAAAA